ACGTGGATTTTTTTAAGCGGGCGGTGCGCATTTCGTTTTCTTGAGCGTGGTGGTTGCCAATAGAAACCTTGCGCGCGACTTGACAATCCGATTCCTTGTGCGGAGATTTACGAATAGATTTCTATTGCGCCAATTCCGAACAACATCCGCGTGCGCGACTTTCATGTCGGGTTCCTTTCGAGGGTGGTCTACCTATTGATTTCTACTGCGCGGGAAGATCTCCATCCCTTAAAGAATTGCATAACAAGGGGCTTCGGCTTTCAAGGTAGATCGCATCCATCTCTAATCGAATCCCATGGGCCGTGGATCCACCCCTAATAAGTCTCTACTCGAAGTGGTTCCGTTCCCAATAGAACTCAGAATAGACGCGGGTCCGTATCTCATCAGATTGAACCCCAGGTGCTTCCACCCTTCGTGGAGTCCAATTGGAGGTGCACCCACATCTAAATGGGATCGCATTAGAGGCGCATCCACAACGCATAGACTTCAATTGCCCGTGACTCCATCCATAACAATATCCCAATGGAGGTGGGCCCACACCTCATGGGACCAGATTTAAGCTGAGTCTTTCTTTGATCGGATTGTGTTACATGTTGTTTCCCCATTCGTAGTATGATGTTAGAGGTGGGCCCACCTCTGATGGAAATCCATTCGCAGCAATAGATCCATCCCCGATAGGATGATCGTAGACGTGGCCCCGCATGGCGTAGCAGGATATAGAGGCGCTAGCAGGCCTTCGCAAAGCCAGCAAATATTGGCAAGTCTCAGCAGGGCATGTCAGAGGCTAGCAGAGCCTATCAGGGCCCAGTTGGGCTCGCCATGGCTTCGCTGGGCTTCGCAGGTGGCCAGCATAACCTACCGAGGCTTAGCAGGGGGCCAGCGAGGCTCAATCGCGCCCAGCAATGCTTGGCAGGGCGCGGCTAGGCCCGGCAGGGCGCAGCAGGGGCCAGCAGGGCATAGCACGGCACCGCAGTGGCTAGCAAGGCTCAGCGGGGCAAGGCGTAGCAGCGACTAGCAAGGGCTTAGCAGGGCTCAGGAGTGATTGTACTGGAGGTGGCTCCATTCCCCATCGGATTCAAATAGAAGTGCACCCGTATCTAATGCGATTCTACACCAGGTGCTTCCATCCTTCATGGAATTCGAATGGGGTTGGATACATTTCTACTGGGTTTCGATGAGAAGCGCAATCGCTGCATGCAATTCAATGACCCGTGGCCCCCTTCATGGCAGGATCCCAATAGAGGTGGATCCACGCCCGATGGGATTTCATTAAAGCCGAGCCCTTCCTTGTTCGGATTGTAATACATGTTGCCTCATCGTTAACCAGATTGTGGTAGAGGTGGCTCCACCTCTGAGAGGATGTCATTAGCAATGGGCGCATCCCTCATGATATTGCATGTGATGTGGCTCCGCATGGCTCAGCAGGTGTCAGCAAATATTGGCAGGTCTCAGCAGGGCACCTGAAGGGCTAGCAGGGCTTTATCAGGTTTATCAAAGCTTCGCTGGGCCTGACAGGTGGCCAGCAGAAACTACCAGGGCTTAGCAGAGGGCCGCGGTGCTTGGCAGCGCCTACCAGGGTTCGGCTAGGTCTAGCGCCTAGCAAGGCTTAGCAGGGGCCACCAGGGCCTAGCACGGCATCGCCGTGGCTAGTCACACGTGGCCCCAGGGATCCTTGATTCTACTAGAAGCGATTCCATGTCCCATAGGATTCGAATATGGGCGGGCCCCTCTCTAATCGTATTATATTCCAGTTGGTTGCATCCTAGATATGTTTTTTCATTGGGGATAGGCCCGCTTCAATTGGGAGCCTAGTAGAGGTGGGACCACCTTTAATTGACTTTCGTCTGTGCGCGCGGCCCCCTCCTTCACGAGATCCCTTTGGAGGTGGACCCACCGCTAAAAGGATGCTAGTAACTGTGAGTCCTTCATAGCTCGCATCTTATTTAAAGATGGCATACCTGATCTGATCATATTGCAGGTGGCCCCAAACCTGATGGGATTATGTTAAAAGGTGAGGCCGTTCATATTAGGATTGTATTGCAAGTGGCTCTGTTCCTGATCAGACTTCGTTCGAGGTGCATCATACCTTGTACGACTGTAGCGAAGGTGGGCACATCCCTACTAGGACGCTGTCCGAGGTTGCTCAATCCCTGAACATAGTGTAATATAAGGTGCAACATCAACAATGGGATTACATTTGGGGTGGCTCCATCCCAGATAAGATATTAGGAGGTTGCCCAATCCCTTTGTTGGATTCAATCAAAAGTGGAAACATCCTTCAGGCGACCCCATCTGTGATAGGATTATACCCGAAGTTGCTCCATCCCTAAGGGTATAGTAGAAGTGTAGCGAATCCAACTTTAAAATAAAAGTATTGAGATGGGTTAGGCCCTGATGGGACTCTATTTAAAGTGGCCCCATCCTAAGGACTACTAAAGAGAAAAAGAGAACACATAGAGATATTCATACATAACAACAAAGCGAGAGAGCGAGATTAAGAACTTAGGAAATAAGGAAATAAAGAAGGAGAGAGAGAGAGAGACAGAGAAAAAACACACACAGAAGAGACAGAGAGAGAGAGAGAGAGAAAGAGAAAGTTCCCACATAGTCCCTTATTTACCCTCCACCAGCCCCCCCCCACCCACCCCGCAGGCCCCGTCCGCGAGAAAGACGAGGGGAGGAGAGGCGCCCGTTGTTCGCGCCGTCTGGGGGGGCGCCGCCCCGAAGTACTCCAGCCGCCACCTCAAGGCTACCTCCAACACTCCGCTCACCGCCCGTCCGGGGCACATGTTCGCTGCTCTGCGGCGGAGGTGCACCGGGCCCTCTGTCTCCCGCAGTGGCCCGAGATCTGCGGAGCGGCGAACTGAAGTTTTCCGACCAGGCTGGCCGTCTCAGGCGGAGACGAAATCCCAGCGTCAAGGACTTTGGAGATCTGATCCTTCATCGTTCATCTGCGTTTTGCGGTGTTGGCTACTACTCGTCTGCTGACTGTCACAGCATCCGCGACGTCGAAGTCGACGCCAACAACAGAACACGCAGCGCTAAAATCCACACCTTTGGAATCCTTCAGAGTCCAGCTGGTCGCCCTCACGCGTGTCCTGGAAAAACTTCTTCGGCGGCCATCGCAATCGTCTTGGGGACCGCGAAACGGAAGTCATTTAAGTAGCTGGCGACCAGCGCCGAAAACAAGCGAGGGCTACATAGTCTCATTGCTGCCCCAACTCTGCTGAATCCCAACACGGATCCTGTGGCTCCCAAAGGCAAGCCGTGGATGATGAAATGAAACAACTTGCCGCGATAGTCGGGGTCTGGAAAAGCGATGGCACAGCAGTCTCAGTCGACGGGTGAAACTGCGATCTGGCGGTTGGCCTACTCGAGGTCAAAGCCCACCAGCGCGCCGTCGTGCCGCTGTCTCATGCCTCCCAAGACCCCGCCCGACTGGAGCGCGAGGCTCATGTCGACTTGAGATGCTGGCGCCAGGGCTTGATGATCTCCGAATTCCAGCCCACTCTGATGGGCCTGTTTTCCACCACCGCCACCATAAGTTGGAGGGGGAGGTGGTCTTCCTCCTCATCCACCTCCTCCTCCTCCTCCTCCTCCACCTCCTCCTCCTCCTCCTCCTCCTACTCGTCATCGTCTTCCTCCTCCTCCTCCTCCTCGTCCTCCACCTTCTTCCCCCCTCCAACTTATGGCGGTGGTGGTGGTGGAAAACAAGCCCATCACACTCCTCCCCAGGGGGTCCTCTCCAGGTCCGTGGCCGCGTCGTCCGTCCGCGACGCAGAAAAGTCATCGAGGGGGCGCGCATTCTCCCTCTGGGTCGCCCTGGGGCGCTGGCCAGGCGCCCGCGCGGCCCGAACATCTCGGCCAGTTCGGCCTCTGCGCAGGGACCGCTGGCCAAGACCCTGCCGGCCTCGAGAATGGTCTTCTGTAAGACTTCGCGCCCCAACTCAAGGTGTACTGGCGCTGGGGCCTGGCCGCGGCCGTCGAGTACGGAAAATGCGTGAAATGCTCCATAGATGTATGGAGCATTGCACGCATGTCCCATAGACTCGACGAGCAACATCAATTCTGGGATACACCAATTCTGTAGTCGATCCCCTACTCACCTACTCGAAAAACGTCAACATCGAGCCTTATGGCGCCGCCAGCGCATCGGGCGCAGCGGCCTCCCAAGGGAGCCAGAGACCTGGCTCAAGAGTCGCTCCGCGGAAGCGCCACAGCACGTTTCTGGCAGCATCCGACCCCATGTGCACCAAAAGTTAGCCACCCACCCAGCCCTGAAGGCTGAATGGTTGCGGAAAGGGCGTGCGCGCAAGCACTCGCACGATGTGTTTGCGAACAGAAGACAAAGTGTGCTGCGCATGCAAAGAGCATCGTACGAAATCGTTGGTTGAATGCTGCTGGCGCCAGCGCTACTGAGGACGACATCCGCGAGGATGACTACAGAACGTTGCACGCGTCTTGCTCGTTCCACGCTTTGCCGATATCTGGATTCTTTCGTCGTATCGATGTGGGAAACCACGCGTTCGGTCTAGAACGGGCAGCGGGCTAGCGAATTGTGTACCTGCGCAGTAGGAACAGAGAGAGAGAGAGAGCGGCCGCGGATGGGAAGGCTGGGGGAACACACAGTCAGAACACGAACTGTTTCACTTGCGGTGCTGGCGGCCTCAAGGAGGCTCCGCCAGGGAGTCGTGCAAAGGAGGCTACACCTGAGCTGACCAGGGAAGTCGTAGCCGAGGTCCGATTTCTCAACACCTGTATCCAGAAACATACTCATGACCACACACACACTGCTATAATGGCACAGCTGACCACGTCTACGACATTGAATGGGACGCCTGTGAAGTCCTGCCTGTTGTTTCAGAGACAGCTCTTGAGCCAGCACGGGCAACAGCCGAATGGTGTTCGTGACTGTCGGCGGCCAGGAAAGAGAGGTGGGGGCGGGAGGATGACGAGGATAAGGATGCGCAGAAGACACGGCTCACTGCTAGGGCGGGAGCCGAGGAGACACCCGACTCGCGATCGAATCTTGGCGTCCTTCTGCTCGCTCCTGGAGTGAAACAATGGAAATTGTACTCATACTGCCACTCCCTGGATCTTCCGAGGTGCATCCTGACCAGGAGATCGCGGGGGCAAAGGGAAGTACCGATACCACTACTCCCCAGACCTCCCCAGAGGTGCGTTCTGACCAGCGCTTCGAGGAGAATCCGGCCGTGGCCACAAAGGATCTCTCCACGACGAGCAGCGGCATCGGCACCTCTCCCTGAAAGGGGATCCGGCCGTGGCGACGAGGGCCCCCAAGGAGGCCGCCCCCCCCTCCCCCCTCGAAAGGGAAAACGAGGGGCAGTGCGCCGGCAGCGGCGTGCCTTCCCCCCGAGCTCCGCGCTGCGGCGCCGTCGCCGCAGGCTTCTCCTCGCTGATGGCGCTGGGCTGCCGGCTCCCCCAGGCGTCCCCCGCCAGGCTGGCGCCGAGGGGCGGCCCTGCCCCGCCCGCGCCGCGGAAGAGCGCGCGGGGCGGCAGCACGCGCGGCTGGGGCCCGTGGCTCGGCGACTCGGGCACGATCGAGACCACGGACCCCAGGTCGCGAGCCACCCGAGCCTCGGGGCACGGCGGCGCGGGAGGAGGGAGCACGAGCCCCCCCGTCGCCGAGGGGCCGAGGTCTCTTAGGGGCCCTCCTGGGGCCCTCTTGGGCTCTTGCGGCTCCCTGAGGGGGTCTGGGAAGTCTCTTGGGGTCGCCTTGGGCCCCACAGCTGGAAAAAGAGGAGGGTAATCAATTCAGCCCCCCCCCTCGGAGGCTCAAACAGGCAGCCTTGGGGCCCCGTGGAGGTGCCCAGGGCGGAGAGCACTCCGGGGTGAGGGCCCAGACACGGGAAGCGTGGGGTCACCCCTCCAGAGCTAGGGTCGCTCTTGGCCCTTGCGCCAGCTGCATGCACTTCGGGACTGCATCAAGGCCTGACCCCGACGATGTTTTGTCCCTCTTCCCTGCAACCTCTTGAAGCCACCTCGGGCCCTCTCGACTTTACTCAGTCAGTCTCCGCAAGCTCTCAGGGGCCCACTTGTAGCCGCCAAGATCGTCCCAAGACAAGACGGTCCCAAGATGCCCCCGAAAAGTGGCACACTCGTGACCCCACTTTGTGCCCCTTTCCCTTGCCCCCCTTGTGGCCCGTCAGGGGACCCTTTCGGGCCCGCACAGGGCGCGTCGAACTCCCCCGGGCAGCTTCCACCGAGGGCTCCTACAGGCCCGCTCGGGGCTCCAGGAACTGACCCAGGACGGTTCCAAGAGGCACCCCAAAGTGGCACACTCGCGATGATCTTGTGTGCCTCTTTCCTGGTGCTATCTTAGAGCCCTCCTGGAAGCCGCTTCGGTCATCTCGAGCTTCCCTGGGCTATCTCCGCGAGCTGCCGGAGGCCCACCTGCTGCCGCCAAGACCGCCACGAAAAGAGAAGAGAGGAGAAATAGAGTATCAGCAGCCATACAAGTCCGTGTGCCCCAAATCATAATAAACTTCTGGGGCATAGGAAATTGTCGCTTCAAATGCCAGGATCGTGTCGTAATCGGCACGTTCTTGATGGAACCTCTTGATGGCACGGGAGCCCAGAGACGGGCCCAGGAGGCTGGAAATGACGAACGATTTCTGCATTGATGGGCCTCGCCCCAGATGGGCCTGAGGAGACCTGGTGGGCCTCTCGCGGCCCAAGGGATCTGCTCTTTTCCTCCCGAGTCTTTTCGTTGGCGGCCGCGGGGCCCCAAACGGCCCGCGGGCGTTACACGTATTCGCTGGGGAGCCTTTTCGAAGCCATAGATCATCGGCGCACCTGAATGCATGTATTGCTCTCCCCTGGGCTATTCGCCTCCATCGTCGCCTCTGGGATGTGATCAAGGAGAAGCGAACCACCACCACCACCGGCGCGAGACTACCCTCCTAGTGGTGCGGACGTGCGGACCCCCCCCCGCTCGAGACATCCCCTACCTCCAGCTTGCGGAAGCATGGTGGAGCTCCTCGCCGGCGGTGGCTCTCCTGGCGGTGGTGGCGTCGCTGTTCTGTCTTCCAGCCAGAGACCCCCCCATAGGGAGAAAATGCTGCTTCGATTTTCAGACGTGACAGGTCTGAAGAGAAGTCCACTCACAATCGACCTTGGACCTGTCCCAAGGTCTGACCTGACCAGAAAATCCGTCCATGGCGACGGAACATCCCCAAACAAAACCCGACTCGGACCCGACCGAACCCGGACCCAGGCCCCAGACCGAACTCGGATCCGACGGAACTCGGACCCGACCGAGCTCGGACCCAGACCGAACGAACTCGGACACGACCGAACTCGGACCCGACCAAACTCGGACCCAAACGCCGCGCTGCAACAAGAACTCTGGGTTCGGGTTCAGCCGGGTTCGAATCCAGCCGGGTCCGAATTTTGCGGTCCGAATTCCGCTAATTTTTGTGGTCCGAACTGGGACCCGTCGGGTCTCGCTTCGATGGGGTCCGAAATTGCCCTGGCCAGAATCCAGCTGGGTCCGAGTTCGAGCCTGTTTTGTATTTTCTGGGATAGCGGCCGTCATCGGCCCCGCACCCCCCTCACGTTCCGCGCCGGCGGTGTCCGGGGATTGCCTAGGGATGACCGAAGCCAAGTAGGAACAGCATGTAGGTGGCAATCTGCACCACAGCTCCTGTGTACACCACAGTGCTCGCGTGCACCACAGCGCGCGTGTACACCACAGCGCCTGCGCACACCGCAACAGCCGTGTGCAACGCAGCGCCTCACCACAATGTTGGCGTGCACCATAGCGCCTATGTACACCACAGCGAATGTGTACACCGCAACAACCACGTGCAACATAGCGAATGTGTACACCACTGTGCTCGCGTGCACCACAGCGCGCATTGTACACCACAGTGCCTGCGCACACCGCAGTAGCCGTGTGCAACGCAGCGCTTGTGTACACCACAGCGAATGTGTACACCGCAACAACTATCTGCAACGCAGCGCCTTTGTACACCACAATGTTTGCGTGCACCGCTGCGCCTGTGCACACCACAGTGCCTGTGTACACCACAGCATCAGCGTGCAACGCAACGCTGGTGTTCACCACAATGCGTGCGTGCACAAGACAGGTCGACGGAGCATGTAAGTGAGGATCTGTCGCGGACAGCTACACCACGCCAGGGAAGTGCTGATAATGGAATGCGATGTTCTTCCCTCCTTCCTCCTCCTCTTCCTCCTCCTCCTCCTGTTCCTGTTCCTCCTCTTCCTCCTTCTCCTGTCCTCCTCCTCCTCGACCTCCTCCTCCACCTCCACCTCCTCCTCCTCCTCCTCCTTTTCATCCTCGTCCTCTCCTCTCCTCCTCCTCCTCCTCCTCCTCCTCCTCCTCCTCTTCCTCCACCTCCTCCGCATCCTCCTCCTCCTCCTCCTCCTCCTCCTCCTCCTCCGCCTCCTCCCTCACCGTTCCCCCCGTCGTGCGGGCCGGCGCTACAGCACACGTGCGCATTTCAGCGTGCACCGCAGAATGGTCTATTGAATCAATCCACTTGGTTTCCCGACGGTCAATTTTGCGGGAGCCTTCTGGTCGCAATTGGGAGGCATTAAGGTGATGCGGGAGCACCCGGGAGGACTCGTAGATTTCAGCGGCGCTCCTTTCTCCATCAGGATTCCGCTCCAAATCCTGTATCGAACAACTGCTTTCAGTGGAATTGACAAGCGCTCTCTTTTCATATTCAACATGGGTACTCTGTTGCACACGGCTGCTGTGGTGCACACAAGCGCCGTGGTGTACACAGGCGCTGTGTTGTACGCGGGCACTGTGGTGTACACTGGTGCTGTGTTGCGCACGGCTGCTGTGGTGTATGCGGGCGCTGTGGTGCACACGGGCGCATAGTACACGGGGGCACTGTGGCACACATTGGCGCCGTGTTGCACGCGGCTGCTGTGGTGTACACAGGTGGTGTGGTGCACGCAGGCGGTGTGGTGCACGCGAGCACTGTGGTGTACACAAGCGCTGTGGTGCAGATTGCCACCTACATGCTGCTGGTACCCGTCCTCAGAAATTCTTAGGCATTCCCAAACGCCGCCAGCGCGAGACCTCGCGTTATCAGCCCCCTCCCCCCCAAATGACGACCGTCATCGGCGCGGAATAAAAAACAAATTCTTTCGGCCGGGTCCGAACCAATCCATCCTTGTCTGGATCTTCGACGAAGTCCGAATCCGTCCTGTTCCGAGACTGGGCGGGTCCGAATTCAGCCGGCTCCGAATTCCGCCGGGTCCGAATTCAACCGGGTCCGTATTCAGCTGGGTCCGAATTCAACTGGTTGGGAATTCAGGCGGGTCCGACTCTGGTCGGATCCGAAATCCGCCGGGTTCGAATTCAGGCAGGTCGAGAGAAGCCTTGTCCGACTGAGTTCCGACGGGTCCGAATTTCGCCGCGCGCGAAATCCCCGGGCCCGAATTCCGCTGGGTTCGAGTCCTGCGGGATCCCAATTCAACTGGGTCCCAATTCAGTTGGGTCCGGGTTCTGCCGAGATCAACCGAATCCGAATTCAGCCGCTGGGCTGCCCCAGCCTGGGCGCGCGCCCAGCCGGGTGCGACTTCAGCCAGGTCCAAACACATGGGCCCAACCAGATCCGAGTTCAGCCAAGTGCAAATTCAGCTGGGTCCGAGTCCCGGGGCACGGTCCCGGGCCCTCCCAATCGCGCAGCCGGGCCCGAATTCAGCCAGGTCCGAACTCAACCGGCTGCAAGTTCCGGTCCGAATCCGGGCCGGACTGGACGGGTCCGAATACAGACGCGTGACGGGTCCGAATTTGGCGGGGTCCGAGTTCGGCCCCTGCCCAAATCGCTGGACGTTCGGGCCCCTCCGCCAGCCCAATAACGGCCAGCACAAATCGGACGCACCGCCAAGTCTACTATGAAGACGGATGCACGTCGAGCGATGCTTTTGTGCGTGGACTAACGCGGTGTGAACGCGGCTCTCATACGCGTCTAACCCGGGCACGGAGAGGGTTTCCTTCCGTGCCCCCGAGCGAAACGGCCGCGGGAAAAGGGATAACATAAGACAGGGCGAAAGAGACAGGAACTATCAATGGGCTACCGTCCGAGTCTGATGCTCAAATGAATCTCCCTGTGCCCCGTCGGCTACAGCACGCAAGCCGTACCGCAACCAACGAAGCCTCATAAACAGTTACGGCGGGATAGGGAACCCCGATCTCGGCATGCCCCGAGAGTTGCTGGACTTCGCGTCGCCCCAAGGCACCTGTGCCCCCAAGGTGCCAACCCCAAGAACCGATTTCACGGCACACGAGGAAGGGGCGACAACTACTCTCTGCAGATTTCCTAGAGCAAGCCGAAACAGGCTGACGCATCCCGCGATAGGAGGCAAGTCTAAACAGGGGCCTTCTACTGACCAGGTCCCTCATAAAAAATTGCAAGAAGAACGAGGGAAACAGAAAATTGAAGGGGCACGGTGAGAAGATTCACGTGCTGCGGCGCAGCTTTTCGCCCAAGATCCCTTTTCGATGGCCCCAGCCCCGACTCTGGATCCGCTGTACTTGTCACGATTTCGCAAGTATGGTGGACATTCCTGCCCTTTTTTCAAGCTCCTTTGATACCGATTGTCGCCCTACTTTTGCCGTCGCTGTTTCCGCCACACTTTTGCGGAAATATCCGTCCTACTTTTCTGAAAGTGAAATAACTGCCCTACATGTTCGTATTTTGTGGGGACCATTCACGACACAACTTGTCAGAAAGCATCTCACGGAAGCCTTAGGTCGTCCCCATGGCGGCGACCACCAGCGCGCCCAACCGCGCGCAAAGCGGAAAGAATGCATGTCCCTCACATGGCGCTATGGGCGCCATTGGGCGCTACTGGGCGCCGACGCGTCAGCGATGCATCAGCGCTGCATCGGCGACGTACATCGGCGACGACAGCGCGGAACAAATCAGGCTCCGCATCGAGCCGTACAGCCAGGCCAAGGACAGAATAACATCCTTCAAGAACATACTTACGACCCTCCGCCAGCCAAAACACGTTAAGCATCCAATGGTACCCTCCCCCAAAATACACAAGAACATCCAGCAAACACGAATAACATTCGGGCACCCTCCCCGAACCGACCTCGACCTGATGCCTCGGTCCGACCGCATCGGCAATGCATCGGCGGTGCGGCGCTACCCTTCCATCTGTGAGGCCACAAAAGACGTACGCGCCCAACCGTGTATATGAACACGGCCGCCCAATCCGCGACACCGGCCGCCTGATACGAGCGTTCGCGCAATGCGTACTCTCGAAACCAACGTAGATTCATGTACGTGTACTGAGTATCGTTTAACCGATCCCCATCCCCAGCAGCGTGGCCTGGGCCCCACTGGCCATTTACCCCCCTAGATGGGGATATAGGTCGTTCCCTTCGGGTTTCGAGGGGTGTATCCCCAACTGGGGGGGGGTCATTTAGTGGAGGTCTCGACGGGGATGGGGATGGGGATGGGGATCGGTGAAACGATACTGATGTGTGCCCTTTCCTCGCTGCCGAATCTGGGAGGCCCAGATCCTCGCAGCGAGGGCCCCTTGTTGAGCACGTGGCGCCTCGCTCTCCGCCGGGGCGGCCGGAGCGCCGCGGGGGCTCGAGCCGCCGAGCGCGAGCACCAGCCGCTCCTCGTGCTCCCGCTCGAGGCCCTCCAGCCTCGCCGCCAGCTGCTCGAGCGCCCCGCGCACCGCCGCGCCGTGGCACGCGAAGCTCCTCTTGAGCTCCTCGGCGCACCCCTGCGGGCCAGAGGCCAGAGGAGGAGGAGGAGGAGGAGAAGGAGGAGGAGGAGGAGGAGGAGGACGCACGGGGACCGGAACAGAACGGGTGTGTGCTCGATAGCTTTCGGCCTCTGGGCGCCGCTTGCCGACTGCGGGACCATCAAAATCGACTCGGGATGAGAATCTGGCCCCGGGGGACGGGTCGAGATTCCTGGGGCGGGCATCACGGACAAACATGCAACGTCGGATGAGAGGGTCTTCGTTTCCGCCTTTTTGGGCCTCCTGGGAGGCGCTCGTCACCATGGCTGGATTCGCACCGAAGACTCAGAACGTGTGCTGGCGTCTACGTGTGCTTGCCAACCGGTGCCCTTCTATATGACTCCAGTGACGTAATGAGGGCCAACGCAAATGGCGTGCCCTGACTCCAGATCCGCCGTATCTTGGGCTATTTCGTAAGTAGGGCGGGAATGTCCCGCGGGCCCTGGCGGCGGCGCGGCGTTGCGGCCATGTCGAGTGTGCCGCCAATGCCGCTACCGATGCCCTTGCCTCCTCACGGCGGCGGGATTCGCACCGAAGTCCTCCTGGTCAGAGCGCGCCCTCGGAGATGACGGCGGAATAGCGATATGTGATATAGGAACATGTGTGTTGTTCACTTCGGGAGGGGGACCAGACACACCGACACACACACAACACACACGCCGACACACATACACACACAACACACAACACACAACACACACACAACACAACACGCAGCGCATAACGCACAGACATGCTCACACACGACACACACAATACACACCACACAAACACGCACACACACATAAACTCGCGCACAGAACACAAACACATACACAACAACCCACACGCACACGCATACACACACGCGCATACACACACACACACACGCACGCGCGCGCACACACACACACATACAACACACACAACACACAAACACGCACACACATGCGCGCGTGCAGACATACACACACACACACTCGCGCACACGCACATGCACGCGCACGCAAACACACGCACACACACATAGACACACGCAATGCCACGCAATGCTGAGCAACGCCAAGAAACGCAAAAGCATGCAATGCCAAGCGATGACAATTGAATGCCACTTAGCAAGCATTCCCGTAATTGAGGTCGCGCCAGGTTCATGTGCATAACGTCGACCCCCGGAGGTCTGGAACCCTTCCCTAGGATCGTTGTTTCATTCAACCTTATTAACCTATTGTTTGTCGGTCCCGAAGCCTGGTGAGTGCTCCCATAAACCGAAAACGAGTAAGAGCGTCACGTCGTGATTTGTTCACAACGAAAGGAGGTGGGGGGAGGAGAGCGAGGAGGAGCGGAGGAACGAACGGAGGAGGAGCGCAGGAGGATAAGGCAATGAGGCAGAGACACCTGCAGGTCTGCGCTGGTGGCGGTGCCCCTGCTGGCCCAAGGTGCTGGCTGCACGACTGGAGGGGGGGCAGGAGCTTGTCGAAGCACTTCCTCGATGCACCCCTGGGGGCAGGAGAGATGAGACGAGGAGGAGGAGGACAAGGAGGAGGAGGAGGAGGACAAGGAGGAGGAGGAGGAGGAGGAAAGGGAAGAAGAGAGGAACAGGAGGAGGAGGACAAGGGGGAGGGGTGAAAGACGAGACGGGGGGGTTCGGGCTATATCTGACATCCCACCCCTCCTACCCCTCCGGCCCAAGTGCGCTTGTTCTGTGTTTCCATATCCGCCAACGCGTGTCATAGCGGACCTGGAGTTCCAAAACAGACCCCATCGTGTGATGCGCAATTGGAACAATAGAAATGCGTACGTGGGAAGAAGAGGTGGCGGATGAGTGGGAGGATGAGCAGGAGGAAAAAAAAGAGGAGGAAGAGGAGGAGGAGGAGGAAGAGACCCTCCTCATAAATCCATACAAACATTCCTTTCCACTGCGGGCGCCCCCCCTAGAATGATGAGTGGCTGGTCGGTCCGTCAATCAGACGAGAGTGCCTGTTTTAATCGATCCTCCCTCCACTTGGAGGACGCTCAGGGTAGGCCTACTTTGAAAAGCTCATGCCCTCCATCCGTCTCAGCGCTACAAGATGTCAAAATCATGGACGTATGCCTCGCAGAAATGCCACGCGAGATCATATCTTCGAAAAAGAAGCCGCTCTCTCTCTCTCTCCGTGCTATTGCACAGCATGGAACGCCTGGCCGTAAAGGTCGAGGCAGGTTCAAATGGGTGTAGATGGTGGACTTTGTATTCGGAGGCGCGCGAAACCAATGGGAAGACCCCAATACAGTGGAGCGTTCGTTGAAGAATGTGCCCAGGAAGCTGCAGACCCTAGCGGACTCCTTATATCTGATGAGGGCGGCGGTGGTATCCATGGCCGGCCCACGATTGAAGTTGATTGAAGATTCACCGGCTTCCAGGCCCGGGGCTCCGTATCCAAAGGGTTCCTTGTCAAACGCCCCCACCGTCATGGAAAGGACTCGCCATCCACTCGCGCAGCTGAGGATGATTTGAAAGCCTGTTATGCGTGGCGCCGGGGCGAGAGTCCCTTTTTGAGAAAACGATGGTGTGCGGCTTCAGCTCAGCGAGAGCCCCGTTGTGAAGGCCGCGGTCCACGCGCCAACGCGACTTGAATCCATCTGCTCTTTGTAGCCTCGTGCGGCGACGAAGCTGGGCGCGCTTGGCAAAGGATTGTAGCGCCTGGGAGCGCCCGGGAGCGTCTTGGAACGCCTGGGGCAGCCTGGGAAACGCTTGGGTCCCAAATCGGAGTCGGCGAGGGGTGATCCAAACACATGTACCATGTATTTGCTATCGACTGTTGTTTGTTTCTGGCAGTTTGTGCCCAGTTGAAGATCAGCAAGTGTAAACCGAACATGCTTGTGGGTAGGGTCGGATGGGCGCGCACCGAGCGAGAGCCAAATCTTGAAAACGAAGCGCCCTCCATCCTTGCTGCTGCAAATTTGTAAAACGAATGTGCGCGGCGCCAAAGCGAAAGTCAAATCTTGAAAACCACCCAGGTTCCATCCTTGAAACGGCGCGCGACGCTAAATCGAAAACCACATTTTGAAAAGGACCCCCTTGGCACGATGGCATGTTTTGCGAAAAACAAGCACAACACGAATGTGGGCGGCGCAAAGGCGAGAGCTGCACTTTAAGATTCAACCGGGCTCTATCCTTGAAGCTGTTGCAATTTTCATCCTTGAGCTGGAACTACAAGATCATAATTGGTGGGAAGCCTCAAGCGAAACGCCTGGCCCGGCTTATTGACACGCCAGGTGACGCGACAGGGAGGATTTATCTATGACGAGAAAGACAGGAGGAGCAAGGAGGACGAGGACGAACAGCAGCAGCAGAAGCTGGAGTGGAAGGAGCGGGAGCAGGAGGGCCAGGGGAATACGGAGGAGAGGAAAGGAGGGGAGCGACAACGGTGAGGAAGCACTCGGATCAAGGAAATGGCTCGCGCTGAGGCGAGAGTGCCATTCCGAAGGACGGGAGCAAAACGATCCTGAAACGAGGCCCTCGCTGCAGCGGCAGCGCCGTTTTGAAGGACCGAAGAAAAGTAATAAACACCATAAGGAAAAAAACAATGTGTAACCCCCTTGCTGCTTTTATCCGCCACCGTACCGCGAGGCGTGAAGTGGAGTTCTCTCCAGGTCCTCACGTGTCCTCTGTTTTCTGAACACAGGACCCTGGGATTATAGTTTTCTCAAGGCTGGGGCCCCAAATTCGCCATTGTCATAAGCGTTTCCACGCGTTCTTGGGCTGCCCCGCATGACTGTTCCAGAGGCCAGACGGCCCTAAGACAGGCCAAGAAGGCCACAGAAAGCGCCCAAGAGGGTCAAAGAGGCCTCCAAAACAGCCCAAGAGCGCTCCAAGACGCCCAAGAGATGGCCACAAGACGGCCCAAGAGGCCTCAAAGAAGCCCCAAGAGCACTCCAAGAGGACCCCCAAGAGGGCCCAAAGAGATAAATATCATTGATACTCTTGGTGGTATTATATGTTGTTCGCGTCCTCGCGTTTTCGGGCTTCCGACGCCCCAAGATGGCCCCAGAGGCGGCGAAGACCGCCCCAAGACGGCCCAAGAGGCCCCCAAGAGGGCCAGAAGACTATCCACGAGGGTCCCAAAACGGCCCGAAAGGCGCCCAAGATCGCCCAAGAGGGCCCCAAGACGGCTCCAACAGGGACCCAAAAAGGGAACACTAATCGACAATTCGAGCCTTTCGCCCCAACAAGCCCCCAGGAGGTCCCGAGAGGCCCCCAAGAGAGCCCCAGAGGCACCCAAAAGCACCCAAGAGACACAAAAAGAGGCCCAGGAGGTCCCCAAACGGCTCCCAAGAGGCTTCAAAACTGCCTCCAAGAGGCACCCCCCAGAAGCCTCCCATGATATCCAAAAGAACTTCCAAGAAGCCTCTAACCCACAACCCAAACACGGTGGCAAGACGGGCCGAAAACCACTAGACCTGGCCCGACACAGAAACGAAAAGAGCGCTTCAGACACAAAAGCCGAAATTCATCACACCACCGTGCGTACTGGGAGCCTTGGCGTTGAGAGCTGGCTACGTCACCCCTCGCTCTTGGGAGCCTTGGTGTTCAGAGATGGTTGCGTTGCCGCCCGTTCCTGAGCCTTGGCTGGGCCGTGGTGACAGGAACTTGTTACGTCACTGCTCTCTGCTGGGAGCCTTGGTCTCATCAGCTTATGTACGTCACCGTTCGCTCTTGGGAGCCTTGGTGTGAAGAGCTTTTTACCTAACATCGAAGACTGATAGGTTTCTGGTGGTCTAAAAAGAGAGCAGCACATTACTTCAACATTACTTCAACATTACTCCACAGGGGGGTCTGGGCAGCCGTTGGGGGCAGTTGGGTGGCAGTTGGGGGGCTGTTGGGGTTTGCCGGCGGGGATCGTTTTTCGCATACAGTCACACACTTCGTGCCCACTTCGTGCTCTTCGATTTCCCAGAACTCCATTCCCGGGCCACATTTTGGATGCCCGGAGCCAACTGTAGGCCACTTCGTGCTCTTCGATTTCCCAGAACTCCATTCCCGGGCCACATTTTGGATGCCCGGAGCCAACTGTAGGCCACTTCGTGCTCTTCGATTTCCCAGAACTCCATTCCCGGGCCACATTTTGGATGCCCGGAGCCAACTGTAGGCCACTTCGTGCTCTTCGAGTTCCCAGAACTCCATTCCCGGGCCACATTTTGGATGCCCGGAGCCAACTGTAGGCCACTTCGTGATCTTCGAGTTCCCAGAATTCCATTCCTGGGCATGATTTTGAATGCCCGGAGCCAACTGTAGGCCACTTCGTGTTCTTCGAGTTCCCAGAATTCCATTCCCGGGCCACATTTTGAATGCTGAGGCAGGCTGAGGCTGAGGCTGAGGCAGGCTGAGGCTGAGGCAGGCTGAGGCTGAGGCCGAGGCTGAAGGCAGACTGAGGCTGAGGCTGAAGCAGGCTGAGGCTGAGGCAGAGGCAGGCTGAGGCTGAGGCAGGCTGATGCTGAGGCAGGCTGAGGCTGAGGCTGAGGCTGATGAGGCAGGCTGAGGCTGAGGCTGAGGCCAAGGCTCAAGGCAGACTGAGGCTTTGGCTGAGGCTGAGGCTGAGGCTGAGGCTGAGGCTGAGGCTGAGGCTGAGGCAGGCTGAGGCTGAGGCTGAGGCAGGCTGATGCTGAGGCAGGCTGAGGCTGAGGCTGAGGCTGATGCAGGCTGAGGCTGAGGCAGGCTGAGGCTGAGGCCGAGGCTGAAGGCAGACTGAGGCTGAGGCTGAAGCAGGCTGAGGCTGAGGCTGAGGCTGAGGCTGAGGCTGAGGCTGAGGCTGAGGCTGAGGCAGGCTGATGCTGAGGCAGGCTGAGGCTGAGGCTGAGGCTGATGCAGGCTGAGGCTGAGGCAGGCTGAGGCTGAGGCCGAGGCTGAAGGCAGACTGAGGCTGAGGCTGAAGCAGGCTGAGGCTGAGGCTGAGGCAGGCTGAGGCTGAGGCTGAGGCAGGCTGATGCTGAGGCAGGCTGAGGCTGAGGCTGAGGCTGATGCAGGCTGAGGCTGAGGCAGGCTGAGGCTGAGGCCGAGGCTGAAGGCAGACTGAGGCTGAGGCTGCAGGCTGAGGCTGAGGCAGGCTGAGGCTGAGGCTGAGGCTGAGGCTGAGGCTGAGGCAGGCTGAGGCTGCAGGCTGAGGCAGGCCTGAGGCTGAGGCTGCTGAGGCTGAGGCTGAAGCAGCTGAGGCTGAGGCTGAAGGCTGAGGCTGAGGCTGGCAGGCTGATGCTGAGGCAGGCTGAGGCTGAGGCTGAGGCTGATGCAGGCTGAGGCTGAGGCAGGCTGAGGCTGAGGCCGAGGCTGAGGCAGACTGAGGCTGAGGCTGAAGGCAGGCTGAGGCTGAGGCTGAGGCAGGCTGAGGCTGAGGCTGAGGCAGGCTGAGGCTGAGGCAGGCTGAGGCTGAGGCTGAGGCTGATGCAGGCTGAGGCTGAGGCAGGCTGAGGCTGAGGCCGAGGCTGAAGGCAGACTGAGGCTGAGGCTGAAGCAGGCTGAGGCTGAGGCTGAGGCAGGCTGAGGCTGAGGCTGAGGCAGGCTGATGCTGAGGCTGAGGCTGAGGCTGAGGCTGATGCAGGCTGAGGCTGAGGCAGGCTGAGGCTGAGGCCGAGGCTGAAGGCAGACTGAGGCTGAGGCTGAAGCAGGCTGAGGCTGAGGCTGAGGCAGGCTGAGGCTGAGGAGGCTGAGGCTGAGGCAGGCTGAGGCTGAGGCTGTGACTGCGACTGCCGTTGCCACTGCGACTGTCATCGCGAATGCGACTACGACTGCGAGAACAGCAGAATTCTACAACTGGATTCTCATCCGAATCTTAAGGGGAATGCTTCCAAATGTGCTCCTACACATCGATGTTAGGTTGCTTTGCCGGGATAATTGCATTACCGATCGCTCTTGGCGTCTCTGGGCCAATGTGGGAGTCCTTTTGGGGCCCTTTTTGGGCCCTCCTGGTGGCCTCTTGGGGGCCTCTCGGGGCTTCTTGGGGGTCTGTTGGGGCATCCTGGGAGCGTCTTGGGGCGAAAGGCTAAACTTTCGGGTTCGTGGTCCCCCTCTTGGGGCCGTCTTGGGGCCCTCTTGGGCCGTCTTGGGCGCCTCTTGGGCAGTCTGGGCGCCCTCTTGGGCCGTCTTGGGCGCCTCTCGGGAGCCTCTTGGGCCGTCTTGGGGCGGTCTTGGGGGCCTCTTGGACCGTCGTCACCGCCGTGAAAGCCGAAAAGCCGTGCTTGCAAAAAATGCACGCTTTCCCAAAGAAAATCTATGATTTTAGCCTCCTGTTGGCCTCGTGGGACGTCTCTTGGGGGCCTCTTGGGGCTTCTTGGGGGGCTGTGGGGGCCTCCTGGGGGCGTCTTGGGGCGATCGGCTAGACTGTTCGGTTCGTGGTCCCCCTCTTGGGGCCGCCTCGGGGCCCTCTTGGGCCGTCTTGGGCGCCTCTTGGGCCGTCTGGGCGCCCTCTTGGGCCGTTTTGGGGGCCTCTGGGGAGCCTCTTGGGCCATCTTGGGGCGGTCTTGGGGGCCTCTTGGGCCGTCGTCGTCAACGCAGTGAAAGGCGAAAAGCCGTATATGCTAAAAACGCACGTTTTCCTAAGGAAAATCGCTGATGTTGGCCTCTTGGGGCCCTCTTGGGACGCCCCTTGGGCGCCTCTTGGGGCGTCTTGGCGGCCTCTTGGGGGCCTCTTGGGCCGTCTTGGGGCTGCCTTGAGCGGTCTTGGGCTCTTCTGGGACGGAAAAAAAGAAAAATCTGAAAAACATTCAAAACAACCATAAGAATACCCCCAAAACTGCCATTAGAGCCCAAACGTCCGCGCTACCTCGCTCTTTCCGTTACCTGGGCCCGGCACAGAGACGGAAAAAGCGCTGCAGCAACAGAAACCGAAATTACTCACACCACCGTGCGTACTGGAAGCCTTGGCGTTGAGAGCTGGCTACGTCACCCCTCGCTCTTGGGAGCCTTGGGGTTCAGAGATTGTTGCGTTGCCGCCCGTTCCTGAGCCTTGGCTGGGCCTTGGTGTCAGGAACTTGTTACGTCACCGCTCTCTGCTGGGAGCCTTGGTCTTATCAGCTTGTTTACATCACCGTTCGCTCTTGGGAGCCTTGGTGTGAAGAGCTTTTTGCATTACCGATCGCTCTTGGCGTCTCTGGGCCTCCGTGGGAGTCCTATTGGGGCTCTTTTCGGGCCCTCCTGGTGGCCTCTTGGGGGCCTCTTGGGGCTTCTTGGGGGTCTGTGGGGGCCTCCCGGGAGCTTCTTTGGGCGAAAGGCTAGACTTTCGGGTTCGTGGTCCCCCTCTTGGGGCCATCTTGGGGCCCTCTTGGGCCGTCTTGGGCGCCTCTTGGGCCGTCTGAGGGCCCTCTTGGGTAGTTTTGGGGGCCTCCTGGGAGCCTCTTGGGCCGTCTTGGGGCGGTCTTTGGGGCCTCTTGGACCGTCGTCACCGCCGTGAAAGCCGAAAAGCCGTGCATGCTAAAAATGCACGCTTTCCCAAAGAAAATCTATGATTTTGGCCTCCTGTTGGCCTCGTGGGACGGGGGCCTCTTGGGGCTTCTTGGGGGGCTGTGGGGGCCTCCTGGGAGCGTCTTGGGGCGATCGGCTAGACTGTTCGGTTCGTGGTCCCCCTCTTGGGGTCGCCTCGGGGCCCTCTTGGGCCGTCTTGGGCGCCTCTTGGGCCGTCTGGGCGCCCTCTTGGGCCGTTTTGGGGGCCTCTGGGGAGCCTCTTGGGCCATCTTGGGGCGGTCTTGGGGGCATCTTGGGCCGTCGTCGTCAACGCCGTGAAAGGCGAAAAGCCGTATATGCTAACTAGAACCACGCGCGCGCTTCGCGCGCGCTTAGGTTCTAGCTAGGAGGCGAGCTTGAGTCAACGAAAGTCGCAGGGAAGGGGGCAGGGGGAAGAAGGCCAGAGAGCGCTGAAGGATACAAATACTGGAACCCTCTTGTGATTTTGTGGGGGGCCTCGTCCGGCCGCTCGCTGGGAGTTTGACGTAGCTTCTCGGGAGCCTCTGAACCTGTCGGGGGCCTCCTCGGGAGCAGAACCTGTTCCTGGAAGCAGGTTCGAAGCATTTGGGGGCCGATTTGGGGCTTCTCGGGGCCTCCTTTGGGCCTCTTGGGGGTCTCCTGGGGCCTCTTGAGGGGCCTCCTTGGGGCCTCCTGGCGGCCTCTTGGGGCGGAAGGCTCGAGCTTGCGGTTCGTGGTCCCCCTCTGGGCCCCCTCTTGGGCCCGTCTTGGGGCCCTCTTGGGCCATCTTGGGCGCCTCTTGGGCCGTCTTGGGGCCCTCTTGGGCTGTCCTGGGGCCCTCTTGGAAGCTTCTTGGGCCGTCTTGGGGCGGTCTTGGAGGCCTCTTGGGCCGTCTTGGACGCGGTGAAAGCCCAAGATGCGAACATGCGAAAAATATACGTTTTCCCATAGGAATGACACGATTTTTGTTTCTTGGACCTCTTGGGGTGCCTCTCGGAACGTCTTGGGCTGATTTTGGAAGCCTTTTGGCGCCTCTGGGTGGCGTTTTGGCGCCTCCTGGGATATGTTGGGCCGGAAGCTCGGAATTCGAGAGTGGCTTTCTCCTTCTGGGACCCCTCTCGAAGTCGTCTTGGGGTTCTCTTGGGCCGTCTTGGGGCCGTCCTGAGCCACTCGTGCGCAGCCTTGGAGCGCTCCCGGAGGCCTCCTAGGCCGTCTTGGAGGCCTCTTGGGCCGTCTTGGACGCGGTGAAAGCCCAAGATGCGAACATGCGAAAAATATACGTTTTCCCATAGGAATGGCACGATTTTTGTTTCTTGGACCTCTCTTGGGGTGCCTCTCGGAACGTCTTGGGGTGCTTTTGGGAGCCTTTTGGCGCCTCTTGGCGGCATTTTGGCGCCTCCTGGAGCCTCTTGGGCCGGAAGCTCGGAATTCGAGGTTGGCTTTCTCCGTCTGGGACCCCTCTCGAACTCGTCTTGGGGCTCTCTTCGGCCGTCTTGGGGCCGTCCTGGGACACTCGTGCGCAGCCTTGGAGCGCTCCCGGAGGCCTCGTAGACCGTCTTGGGCGCCTCTTGGGCCGTCTTGGACGCGGTGAAAACCCAAGAGGCGAACATGCGAAAAATATACGTTTTCCCCACGATTTTTGCTTCTTGGGCCTCTCTTGGGCTGCCTCTCGGAGCGTCTTGGAGGCTTCTGGGACCTTCTTGGTGTCATGACAGGCGTCTTGGAAGGCATCTGGAGCCATCGGAGCGCGTTTCGAAGCCGCCTGCGAACGATCTTGGACGGCGTCCGGCGGTCCGACGAGCCTCCGGGCCCCCCGGAGCCCACATTTGTGGTCGGGGTCCCGGCCCCGGGCCCCCGGACCCGGTGCGCCGTTATATGTATAAAATATATGTCTTCCTTCGGGAAATCGCTGATTTTGGCCTCTTGGGGCCCTCTTGGGACGCCCCTTGGGCGACTCTTGGGGCGTCTTGGGGGCCTCTTGGGCCGTCTTGGGGCTGTCTTGGACGGTCTTGGGCTCTTCTGGGACGGGAAAACAAGAAATCCGCCGACCCCTTGTGGGTCCTCAGGCGTGTGAGATTGTTCCCCCCCCTAATCTTCCCCTGGGGACCCCAAACCTCGAATTTGACCCCCCCTCCCGTGCCGCGCGAGGTTCCGGACAATGCGCGCCAAGGGGGGGGGGGAACGCCCCAAAATGTTCCAAGAGGGCACCAAGACGCCCCCCCACGCGGTCCAAGAGAACCGCGAATCGTTGGAATATCGACCCCAGACGCCGGCGATGGTCCCCAGACGCTCTCCGCAGCCTCCAAGACACCCCAAAGTGCCCCGAAGATGTGCCCCAACAGGGTCCCCAGACGCAAAAATGGCCCCGCATTCCCTTCGTAAAACGTACGTTTTTAGCAAACTCGCTTTCCCGCCTGTCCGACGCTCCAAGACGGCCTATGACGCCCCCGAGGTCGCCCCAGGACGGCCCAAAAGGCCTCCAAGAGGGCCCCCACATTGCCCCAGAGGGCCTCTAGACGGCCCAAGACGCACCCGACACGGCCCAAGGCCGTCTGAAAACGAGCCCACGGGAGGGCCGGGAGGGGGACCACGATCCAAAAGGCAACCAAAAGGCCCTCTGGACCCGCCTCGAGACTCTCTTGGACCGTCTGGAGGCCATCTGAAGCTCTCTTGCGGCCATCTTGGGGCCCTCTGAAGCCGTTTTGGGGCCCTCTTGGGCCGTCTTGGGGCCCTCTGGCCAATTCACCAAACAAATATAAAGAAACAGGCCATGGGAGCCGCCCGGGAGCCGCTTCACTCGAACAAAAAACGAGGCGCGAGGGCAACTAGACTGTTGTTCCCACGCTAGCACCCTCCCCCAGACCCCCTCTCTATAAGGGCCTCGCCCCCTGCGAAACGTCTATCGCTCGTACCTCGCTCTTTCCGTCATCCGCCGCCTCCTGTTGGCTTGCCACAGGGGTGCCCAGCGTGCTAGATTTTTTCGATTTGGGTTCTTTTAGAAAACTCCCTGGGGCTTCGGCCCGTCCCGCTGGGGTCCCGCAAGGGCCCCAAAGACTGCCCAAAATCTGGTTGCAAAGATTTTCCTTGCTCCAGATGGCTCCAAGATGGCCTCCAGGTTCGCCCAAGACGGCCCAGGAGAGTCCAAGATGCCTCCAAATTCGCACAAGAAACCTCTCAAACGGCCCAAGACGGCCCCAGAGGCCTCCAAGAGGTCTCCAAGACGGCCCAAGAGGCCTCCAAGAGGTCTTCCACGAGAGCCCGGAGAGGTCAAAATCAATGTTTTCCGTAGGTTTTTGAAGGATTTTGGCTTTTGGTCTTTTCGAGCCTTCCGACGGCTCACGACGGCCCAAGGGGCCCGAAAGATGGCCCCCAGAGCGCCCAAGAGGCCTCCGAGATGGCCCTATGACGGTCCAAGAAGCCCCCAAGACGGCCCCAAGCGGGCGCCAAGACAGCTCCAGAGGCCTCCAAGACGCCCAAGACGGTCTCCAAGACGGCCAAGATGGCCTCCAAGATGCTTCCAGCACGGTCAAGATGAGCTTCAAGACGGCCAAGATGGCCGCTAAGACGGCCAAGATGGCCCAAGATGGGCCCGAGAGGTTCCAAGATTGCCCCAGAGGGGTCCAAGAGGTGCTCCAGGAAGGCCCGAGGGAGCCAACATCTAAATGTTCCTTAAGTTTGACGGATTTTTGTTTTTCCTCGGTTTTGGTGTTCCGACCGCCTAAGACGGCCCGAGGAGTCCCCAGACTAGTCCTAGAGGCCTCCCAGATAACTCCAGAACGGTCCAAGAGGCTTTCAAGCCAGCCCCATGAGGGCCCCAAGACGGCCCAAGAGGTTTCAAAAACGGCCAAGATGGTCTCCAAGATACCTCAAGACTGCCAAGATGACCTCCAAGACGGCCTCCAAGACGGCCTCCAAGATGCCTCCAAAACGGCCAAGAAGGCCTCCAAGACGGCGAAGATGTCCCCAAGATGCACCCAAGACGGCCCCAAATGGCCTGAACATGGCCTTAGACTGCACGGAAGGCCCGCCAGAGGCCTCCAAGACGGCCCAAGACCCCTCCAAGACGTCCTCCAGGAGGCCCGAAAGCTCGGAAACCACCTGGTCCGATGGCTCGCCCGACTCCGTGCTCCCCGAAGGCTTTCGAAGCTCGAAACCCACTCGGGGAACGCGTGGCCCGATAGCTTGGCCAGGCTCAAACCCTACTTTCGGCCACGCAGGCGCTTCCAAAAAGGAAGGGGGCGGCGGTGATTCGCCGTAGGCGTCCTCGACATGTCAACGAACAAACAAATAAGATAGAAAGGAGGGAGGCGGGCCACTCCACAGCCATCTTCGGGGGAGAGAA